TTAAACTAAGCGTCCTAAAGTATTACTGTATTTCACAAGGATTCTGACACAACAGCGTGAAGCAGACGCTTTCATTGCGTTTAATGAGGAAACACGCTAAACTTGGAGGCTCATGCTGAAAGGCAGAGTAATGCCCTGTCTTTGACAGCTCACGACTTCACCAGAGACTCTCTGAGTACATTTACATAAGACACCAATACTCCGATTTTAATATGATTAAGATTAAACTCTTATTAAAAGTCTACCGTGTAGCCTAAGCAGTGATTTTATTACCTTAAAGGAACACCGAGTCACGAAATGCGGAGGATTTTCTTTCTGTTCGCCATGCGGTATCAACTTACAACAGAAAGTTAAAAATGAAACCCGAAATTGCATGAAACTCTGGAGAGCCTGGTGATGCGACTAATAGTTTTATACTGGAACTTGCCTTCAAAAAGTGCTTCCTTGGTCTTATCCACATTTATTGCATGTTAAACACACGTCCACCACAACAGGAAGTAAAAAAACCTGCAACTGCGTTAATTTTTTTTTTACGCGTTAATTATTTAAAATTAATCGCATGCGTTACCGCACTAATTTTGACAGCGCTAATATTTATATATTTATATATATCAGTGCTTTCCACAGGTTTGAAATTTACCTGTGGTGGTAGCCAGATTAGAACACATTGTACCCACAGCACATAAACGGTCAACTACATACGACAAACAAATATACTTAACTATATTTTTATTTGTGATGACACATTTTCTTTTCAATGGGTTAAAGGTATTTAAAAAAGGCTGTTGAAATAAAAGAAATCCATGTTCACCCACTGACAGGTAAAGGCTGCTCTCTCTCTCTCTCTCTCTCTCTCTCTCTCAGGCCGTTTACACTAGTGCATTCTAGTTTGAAAACGCATACGTTTTGCTATGGTTACGCCATCTGTTGTGCAGCTGTTCAGAAACGCTGGGTGAAGTGCTAGTGTGGACGCGGATCGTTTTCATTCTAAAACGCCGTTTTAAAACTAAAGCTCCTCTCTCGCTCTGCGAACGGGAGGAAGCCACAAGCTCGAGGATCCCTTGAGCTCGGGGCTCTCTAACGGGACAGCATGCCAAACAAGCTTTGATAGATCATCATTTAAGTGTGTACTCTTGAAATGGCATCTAAAGTGAAGTTTAACAAACTCATTTGGAGAGGAACACGTGATATAATTGACTACAGCTGGCCACCCGCTCTACATTCATTAGCTAGCCAATCAGATCTATCCTAACTCACTATCCGCTTGTTAAGTGTTACGTCACGCGGAGCGGCTTCCGGGTCCAAGCGCTCTATTCAACTCATGAAATGGTAATAATAAACGTTTACAAAGCGATTTAATACTTTCGAAAGTCACGATGGCAATATATATGTCCATGTCTAATATCCGATGGCCAGAAAGTGATTCATTGTTTTATGAATTGTTAAAATTTTGGTATTTGTGATGCAGCAAGCCCAGAGATTGTTGTGTACACTATGACTTTATGTAAAATTAACTTTAATGTGTGATAGGAATAATACCCGATTCTAAACCAATGATTTCTCCACTCAAGTGAATGGCGTCTTGGACCCGGAAACAGTATACATACGTCACCAACACGTCACCACTTAACAAGCGGATAAGTAGCCTAGCTAGAACTACTCCCTTATCTTCGTGTTCCGAAGAAACCCCCCCATCCACCCCTTTCTCCTCCTTTACTATAGAGCTTTTTCATGGCTGCTGCATGGCGGGCGCCATAGCGACGAGCATCTTACTTCAGTTTACAGCGTGTACAACTGGTAATTTGCGCTCCGAAAATAGGTTTCAATAACGTTTTTAATGGATAACAGTGTTTTTGTGACACACAACTTAGAAATGTGTCTGTTAAAGCCGTTATAATCTGTCACATGTGGGTCAAGCGCGTCAGAAATACGAGAAAAACGTTCTCCTAGTTCACGTGTCTGCCGTCAGAAATACAGTGTGTGTGTGCGTTCCCGGCCTGTCAGCTGTTAGCTTAGCGGCTACACACACACAGAGAGAGAGAGAGAGAGAGAGAGAGAGAGAGAGAGCAAAGCAGAGTACTGGCATGAAACTTAACAGGTATGAAAGTCGTGCAATTTACAAAAATGAGCAATAAAAGTCTGTTATTGATCCTCTGCTGCTGATTTGCTGTTTATTCTAATCGCGAGCCGTTTGTGTTTTATTTCGTGAGTTGTTTTCACCACGGTTTGTGTTTTTCTGTCATTTCGTAATGACACTAGCCTTTATTTTCACTTTGTCACAGTTATTAAATCAGTGTGTCAGTGGCACAGTACAGGCTACATTACATTAGTTTGGGCTGGTTATATATTTGAAATAAAGAGAAAATGTTGACTTTAGCGATGACGAGGCTTCATTTAAACTGCAGAAGATGCCGTCTGACAACGAGGGGAAAACGCCTCACAGCAGCTGTTTTCCATCCTATTAGATCACATTTCTGTAAATGATCAGTCCAGGAGATGCTGCTGATGGACAACAGTGTTAGCTCAAAGAGGATAAAAGCAGGTCAAATAGATTAAAACTGTCCTTTCAAAGCTGTCCAAATGTGACTGTTTACACGCATCAGCTGCCGACCAGAAGTTCTTCGCATTCTCCTTGCGCATACACGCAAAGCATGATGGGTAATGTTGCGTTCCAAGAAAAAGGTCTATAGGGGAGCTCTCGAGAACCACCTGATCTCGTACTCCCCTCACATGCTCTATGGACCTGGCGGGAGCCCTGGGCTCAACTATCTCCGAGCTCAGGGTTCTCTCCCGGGACAGCATGCCAAACCTGCTTACAGCTGTCAAGCAATATCTAAGTGTGAACTCTTGAAATGTGTGTTTGGGAAAGATAGCGTCGGGTAACTAGTGCCATTTCCCTTAACTTAGCTGAACACGAGCTTTGATATGCCTTTATTTTCACGTTCCATTCAGAACGGACCTTCGGGTCACTTTGAAGGCAGCGAAGTGATCAATTTGTTGATAAGACATACAGCCAGGTACACAACAATACGCCATCGCGGATACTGTTCCTGTGTGACTCCAGGCGATACTTCTGGGCTTCATTCCCACTTCAGCCTCGCTTTCACTTTAAAAATGGCGGCCGCATGAAATCAGTCTATACTCGCTCCTGATTGGTCAGCCATGACATTTTTAGGTTTGCTATTCCCAGATAACAACCGCTGAATACCACAGACTCATTCAGGAACTGAGAATCACCATCAGTGAACATGTTCATGTCTATATTTATATCTTCAATACCATTTTTATAGACTGTTTGGCGCCATCTAGTGTCTAAACAATCTTGTGACCCATCTCACCCCTGATCTCAACAGTGTTTTAGTGCGACTCACTGATGAAGGTCTTCCAGCTCTGCGGATCTTCGCTCTGCCTCCAGGCGTGTGGCCATCCCATCACCACTGTGTTGTGCTTCATGCCGCCCAAACCGCTGGACTGGATCATGTGACTGATGCCCTCGCGGGGCTTCTGGGCCACGATGCACTGCACAAAGCCCTTCACACGCTCCTTCTCCATCAGGTGCTTCAGCGTCTGACAACACACAGGCATGGAGATGACCCGGAAACCCACAACACAAACACTCTCTACTGTGCTCAGACTGCATGCGCATATCTGTCTCTACTCCATCATATACACCATCATGATCATAAATGATTCAGCATTCTTCAAAGTATCTTCAGATTTCTTCAGTAGGTGTATGTATATATTCAGTGAACGGATCCCTCCGTGGTGAAGCGCACCTGCTCTGCCGCGAGCGCCTCCCCGTAGGTGTGCAGGAAGTTGCCCGGGATGACGGTCCCTACGATGGTCAAACCCTTCCCTGCTTTCAGCTGAGAGGCGAAGGTCAGCAGACGAGGAGACTTAACATGAGCGTCTTCATCCA